CATACACAAGTAACCAAGCTATAGCTATGCATTTGATAGAAAATTTGGGTTGGTTTTAATAAATATTTTTTTTTTTTAGGGACAAATTTTCCTTATTGCTAGAATAAAATGGAGTTCAACATTAATTCTATGCCTTTGTTGATGTTTTGATAGATATATGTACTAAAAAAAAATCTGTGTACAAAGAAGTACATGAGAATTGAGGAATTCAGCTATAGTAATATTCACTTGAGCTACTTTTCAGTTATATGCTAAATATAACATATAATTCAGTTCTTAAAATTATTTTTTATGATCTTTTATCTGACAGTGACCTAATTTCCTCTCTTAATTTTGTTCAGACCAAAGATCAGAAAACACTTCACTTGCAAACAGATTGGATACCTGGTTATTAGGATAATTTATTTTCTCATGCCAACACCAGTATTTTGATTTGCTCTGTATTTGACCCCAGAGATTTATTTTACTGCCCAGGATAATGTACCCAAATAAGATGTTGGATGATTGGTGAAGGTAGAAGAGGGAGAGGGAATCAGCCCTTCTTCAGCAGATTAATTTTAAAGAAGACCATTTACTTTTGAGAAAGATTTCCAAGCCCTTGTACTCTTGGAAGGAGCCCAGAGGTACACATAGCCCAATGTGAAGATCCCCATTGCATGCTGTGAGCGATTTGAATTTTATTCCTCACAATTCTAAATTTCTCATTATACTTTCCAGATCAGGTTTACTTCACTCTCATGCGGTTTCTCTGAGTGAATTTAGAAGTCAGAGGACATCTTGCCCTCATCCTTAATTTATATGCATTGCTGTAACCCTTAGCTCCTTTGGGACTGTTAGCATACAGATATAGTTCAGGGCACATAGGACTAGATGTTCCTCCCCTCCACACAGTGCTTGAATAGTTTTAAAATCAATTTAAGTACCATTGTCATCTGGCAGGAGTTGTTGAGCAAAGCCAAATCCTAACTAAAGCTGAAAATTGAGGAGAGGCTCATAGAGAGATTATTACCACTTTTAAGGTTTTACAAGTTATGCTAATATGTATTGGAAAGATACGAAAGTAGAACAGAGAAGCTTTTGATACCAAAAAGGAAAGCTCTTCAACATGAATTAACTTATCATTTCTTAGTAGGGTATGATGGCAGCTACCGATGTTGAATTTAATATGTGCAGCCAATCAGAAATTTTGCCAGCATCTTTTCTTTCTCAGTTATTTTATTAGATTATTTTTTTGGGAGGGGGGAGTAATTCGTAAAGCTGATGTTACTTTGAAGTTTCCACAGCCACATTCCTTTCCTCCCAGTCTCTTGAATGTGCTCTAACTCTAATTTTGTTGACTTCCTGATATTTAAAGCATCTGTATTTCAAAATTTCTGTGACATCTACAAGTATGTGAACTGCCGGAAGCCGGTCCATCCTTGCTGCTTGACACAATTGCTGCAGAGAAGAAACATCTGCACAGCATATGTTTCAAAGGACCTGGTGTATATGGCATACTGTTCTTAATATGTTTGCTCCCCTTCTTAGCGCTATGTGTTTTAACCAAGGTCACCTCTCCAAGAAAGGTTGTTTCCCCAGGTGGGGATTTTTCCCTGGAGTTAGGGATTAACAGGACTAAGGAAGGGAATAAATCAGTAAAACTCCTTAACTAAGTGCCAGGTGGGTAGTTAATCACCTTAACTACGAACAATAACACTTAAGCTACATAATCTTTACTTAGGATAATCTCCTTCAGTTACTTCCTTGTAGCTTAACAGAACAATAGAGTAGTGACCTTGGAATGGAGATAACAAACGCCCTAACCTTTGGAATAGAATGGATAGGATTAAAATCAACTGGTATAAATACAGATGTAATGGGACAGTAAATAGAGAACCTGGCTGGAGAACCTGGCTAGACTGCTGACCAACTGAATGCTGTCTCCATGTCATTCCTTCTTCACCGGCTCTGTCCACACCTTTGGGAACCCCTGGACCTGCTGGGGCTGGACCCCAACAGTGAACTACTCAGTTGTCAATAGTGCACACTACCTGTCCATCCACTGGTATCTCTGCTTACCTTTATATTTTGAAAATGAATTCAACCTTGAAAGTCTACTAAAAATACATATGCACAAAGTATGCCAGGGAAGGTAAGACCATTCACGTTGTTAAAGGACCATTTAGTTAAAAATTTGAGTCTAGATGAAATTGCATTTGGTTTACCCAAGTGCCAATATCATACTTTTTGGAAGTCCACCCTTTAAAAGTCAAGATACACTTTTGTTGTACACAGAAGTCTATGACCTAAGTTTGGCTAGTTATGTTAAATTTTAGAAAGTTTTTTGGGACAGAAGTTATTTTCATTATATTTTTAGTTTGCTTACATTTAATGTTTTTTTCAAATAAAACATGAATGGAAGCAATAGTTTTCACAGTTGCATCAAAATGAACATCGCAACAAATTAAATTTAGATAGTGCAAATCGAAGCCAACAATGATAACAAAAGTGAGTTGATTTTAATAAATTCTGATATTAAAATTTACTATATTAAATTTACTATGAAAGATTTTACTATATTAAAATTTTAATTTCTTCTGGAACAGCAAGTAAATATATCAGAGCTATATATTGCAGTTACTTATTGTAAGAGTAGACCAATTTAGTTCTAATTTTTTAATTTTAATTTTAGAGAAAAATCCCAGAAGATAAAATTCAAAAAACCAATTTTCTTAATAACTGATAAAAAAGGTAATTAGTTCTCAATTTTTCTTTCTACAAAATCAATGGCTGGAAGCAGACAGAAAATTGAAAACCTTGTTCTGTTTTATGAGGCATACTTTTTGGACTTTGAGAGCAATACAGGCTTTGCTGCTGTGTTGCTTACAAATAGGAACTCCCATAACCATCGTTTTCCCGTATTTTCAAGGACAAGTACGGAAGGCACACACTGGAGGACAGAGTCTTACTCTGGGAGAGTCAGTGATGCAAAATGCTTCTGAAGTTGGCTGTGAAGCTTTGAAAACTGTTCAAATGATTTTTCTGTCAGGCTGGTTTCGTTGTTACTGTGTGTCACCTGGATTAGATACAGCTGCAAAAAATAGACAAAAATCAAAGGACAGCAATATCAACCTGTGATACCTTCTACATCTGACTGCATGTCACTAAACAAAGCAGGAGTCTTTGTGCATAAAAAATCATCACAAAAGTTGAGAGATGCAATTTGTAATGGCAAAATTATATATAAACACAGTGTATTATAATAATAAGAATCTAATGTGCTGGGAACAGACGCCCAATTTCTGCTCTTCTTGCAGACACTTCAATCAGCTCTTGTTTCATATTCTACCATGGGCAGGATCTGTTCTCTTTGATGGTTCTCTTCTAATAGCTCTGGTTGTTATGATTTGTCCTTAGAACATCCTCTTTAGTGGGACTTCTGCTCAAAATGTAACTGATTTTTCATTTGCATAGTAAAAGCAAAAATCATGGTTTAAGGAAGGATGTGTAGCATAGTGAAGGGGAGTCTGAAGGCAAATGATATTTAAGTTAAGATGACAGACTTGAGACTTACAGGACTAGTCATGTTGCTGAACCTTAAAATTGTCGCTCTTTGAATTGACCTGGTTGCACTCAACATACAAGATTCCCGGGGAAAGTTCTGTGAAGTACACTTGGCAGGGCTTATGGCTGTCATTTGTGCCAGCGTGTGGATCAAGTTATTCAACTTAACAGGGAAACACTCCAGACTTTCCTTTATTTTCCTAGAGAAATGAAAAAAAAAAGATAATGGGTTACAGTCCCTTGAATGGACTCATTTCACTTAAGATTTGTTTCCTTGTGTTTGTTAGATGTGGAGGAAAAAGTCAAGAACCAACAATTTTTATTTGGAGCCCAGCTATTAAACCTTATATTTTTTTTGTAAACTTCAAGTTCACAGTTTGAGTTGTTAGCAGATATAAAATAAACTCTCATAGTGAAATTTAAAACTGTGATTATAAACTTGGATTTTGACTTATTTTAGATTTTTTTCTATTTTAAAGATGATAATTTAAAATTTAATTTTAATTTAGAATTATTTAAAATATTTACATAGCTCCAGAAGTTAAATCTACAAAAAATATATATTTCAAGAAGCCAGCATCTATCCTGCACTCTCTCTGTTTTTCCTTCCTTCCCCTTATATTTAAAAAAAAATTAAAAATTGCAGTTTAACTTGTATCATTTTAATTTTGTATGTATTTATGAATTTTTTTCAGCCATCTTACAAAATAGTTGCGTACTATTATACTATACCTAATATACAAGTATTTTATATGAAATGTTTTTCATTCTCTGGTCTTTTTGGTTTGTTTTGGAGTGTTTCTGCTTCTTAATGTTAATTGTATTGTTGTTTTAAGAAACTTTGCAACTGCATTCTAATGGTATAACAAATATCTTTATGTAATATTCTTTATCTCCTTTGTACCCCCCTCCAGTATCTAATTTGCAGTGTTGTCCTGTTTATCCCAGGTAATACTATAAAACAAACATTATGCTTATTCTACTTTTCTTTTTTTTTCTTATTCTACATTTCATATGTGCTTCCTATTCCACTTTCATTTTTTTAGCGCTATTGTGTTTACATCATACAGTAGTATTTCTACTATACATATTATGCAGTCTCTCTTCTAAATAGCATTAAATCTTAAACTCTCTACCAGTCCATATCTCTCAGTCATTTTGACTATCTGAATCTAATTCTCATAAATCCTTCATGAATGCCCAAGGTTACAAGTTTCTGAGTTTTGGGTGTTGATAATCATTTGTCTCTGGGCCTTTATACTTGAAAATCAATTTGGCTAAATACAACATTTTTGGCTTACACTTTATTGTTTTGAGTGTCATCAAAATATTATTCCATTTTCTTCTGGAATAAAGAATTGCTATCCAAAACTCTGATGACATGCTGAGCTATTTTCTCTTATAAAGAACTCCCTCTTTTTGCCTAGAAGCTTAAAAAGGTTTCTTTTTCTTTGAAGTCCAGTAGTTTTTCTAAGGTATGTTTTAGTTTGGTTTTTATAGGTAATTTTTCTGAATATGCACTGTGTCTTTCAATATGTAATTTTGTCTTTTGATTTTTCAGAAGATTTCTTAAATTTTAAAATTTTATTGTAACTAATATTTGATACTATGAGTAAAATTTTAACTCATTAATTCTAACAATATATCTTTTTATTTTTTTGAAATTTGAATGATTGCAGTCATGTAATCTGCAAGTAATGAAGGAGGTTTTTGTCACCCATTGTACTGCTAAAACATCTAGTTCAATGGTAAATAGAAGTGGTGGCAGCAAAGTTTGTTCCTGATTATGAAGGAAACATTTTCAATGTTGTACCATTAAATATAATGTTTTTTGTAAGCTTTTAGTTGTAGGTTATGGATATTCCTTTCTATTTCTAGAGAGCTTTTCAAAATGAGTGATTCTAAATTTTATTAATTGCATTTTTCTGAATCTATTGAGATGATCATATAATGTTTTTCCTTTAATTTTTTATTTTCACTACTGAGTCTTGAATGTTTACCTTGTAACCACTTATTTCACTGAACTCTTGTTATCCCTTTTTTTTTTTTTTTTTTTTTTCTTAATTCTTTGGAATTGCTATATTTGTTGTTATTCAAACGGAAAATAACAATATAACAAAGCCTAAATATAGAACTTTACTATCAATATAGAAGGCATTATTTTTTTCCTGACATTAATGGGAATGCCTACAATTTTTCACTTTTAAAAGTATGATGTCTATCTCAGTTTCTTTATATTCTATGTTTGCTAAGATTTTCTAAGAGAAATGGATGTTACCTGTAGTGAAGCACTGCTTTTCTGGGCAGGCTTCTATCAAAGCTGCAATGCCTGTTTTACAACTAATCTGCCATGTCCTCAATGTTAGCAGTGTAGTTCACTAATGTTTAATAATTGTCCCCTCACTTTTATAAAATTTCAAGCCCATTTATCTTGTTCTAGTATTGGACTTTTTTGAGTAAATTCCAAATTCTTCCATTATCATCAATCGAGGTCAAAATTTGCTAAGGAAGTTAAAATGTGACTCTGATCATTATTCATTTCCACAGTGTTCGTTGTTTCTAAAAATGTTCTTTGAATTTATGGAAATATGGTACAGTATATAACATTTGTTTTTTTCTTTATTGGCAAAGACATGAAGATAATAAGGTAGAAGTATACTATTAATCATGACTTATGGAGACCCTACCTTCCATTCATTCATTTATTCATTCAACAAATACTTACTGAACATATATGTATTTTATGTGTTAGGTTGAAAAGCTCTCATGCGATAGCATGTGCTCCTTTCTTATGAAGATAGGCCTATGAACCAGAAATCTTAAGTTCTGGTGTATTCACCCTCGCAAAATCTCAACTATGTTCATGCCGTATTCACACACTGCCCAACAGTTCAGACATAGGAAGAATGGAGATGAAGGATAAACCTTTATGATAAGCCTATAGAGTTTTAGAACAGACTCTCACCTAAATCCATCTCCCATCTCTCAGGTGGCAGATTAATAGGTCAAATCAAACAGTTCTATTACACATGACTCAAGTTGGTACCAGTGCCCTGAGAGCAGTAGGTTTTAGGCCTCTGTGAGGTGACAGCTTTTTGGTTTATTTTGTTTAACTGCAGCATCAACAGGATTATGCTCTGGATTATCCATGTATTGCAGATCCAAAGCAGCAGCTGGAGGGATCCAATTCTTAAATTCCTAGGGGAAAGCTAGGCAGTCTTGAGAAATGCTTCTAACTCCCTGCTAGGCACTATGTTCTGTGCTGGGGCATAGATGTGAAGAAAAGAATTCAGATTTCTGCCCCAAGGGAGTGTATATCCTTTGGCAGGGCTGCACACAATGCCTTATGTTAATCTTTCATTCTTAGAGGAAAGTGTAATTATTTTGATAATAGATAAGAAAGACCAAGAGAGGTGAAATGCATACCAAAGGTGACATCATCCAGGAAGTAGTAACCAAAAATTCCAACTCATGTTTATCTGATTCATAACATATGCACCTTTTTATATGATATAAATATCTTAAATTTACCATTAGAAGCACCTGCTAGTAGCAGGTTTCCTTAGCTATGTGAGTGTCAATGGGTAATGGATTTGATCAGTCTCAGTGTAGTATAATAATTACCCCTCAATTCAGAAAACTGAGTTGAATCCTGCAGCTTTGGTCTTCCATGTCTAGTTCAGCATCTAGGCAGATTTGATTTTTTGTAGATGAAATATTACAATATTTTTGAACTCACATTTCTGTTAATATGTGACTATAAATGCCAAAAGTTTTTCACTGCTTCCTGAATCAGTCAGAATAACCATTGAGAAAAAATGCCCTTAATGGCTGTTGAACGGTGACTGAGTGAAGTTTCTCAGGCAGTTTGATGGAATACCTGTTCTACTGGTCAGTCTCTGTAATAGTTTCAGGGAAATATTGCTCAAAAGATTATTTTTTGTGTGAAGAAATTTGCATAAGAATATTCCTATTTTACCATATTGCTTTCATGTATAAATGGAAGTGACTCACTCCCCATGAGCAAATTTTTTTCATCTAATTCTCAAACTTCATTTTCAATGCAGGGATTTTGTCATGTGTGATAAACACATTACTTTTTTTTTCTTTTTTGGGCATTACTCACTGAGTATTCGGCTCTGTTAGTTATTCAGAGGTAACAATGAATTAAAAAGCTTCATCACAATTTCTTTTATTTAATGAAGAAAAGTCATAGTTTAATGTTAAATTTATAATCTATAAAATGTTAGAACAGTACTTTCTCCCTCTTAAGCCTAAAAGTATGCAGTCAAGATAATTCCTATTTGCCTGGCCGGTGTGGGTCAGTGATTGAGCATTGACCAGGAGGTCACAGTTAGATTCCCAGTCAGGGCACATGCCTGGGTAGGGTGTGCAGGAGGTAGCTGATCCATGATTCTCTCTCATCATTGACGTTTCTCTCTCTCTCTCTTCCTTCCTCTCTGAAATCAATAAAAATATATTTTTTTAAAAATAATTTTAAGTTATGCTAACCATACCTTATAGCAGTGCTGTCTAGTAGAACTACTATGGGAATGTTCTATTACGTGCTGTCCAGTGCAGGATTTAATCGAATTGATTAATTATTTAATTAAATTTGGAAAGAGGAATCAATAATAACTTTCAGTTTTTATCTATGTATATAATTTTTTTAAAGGTAATTCCTATGTTGTTACAAATTTATTGAAGGGGTCAGAAGGAGCCACCTAAGATGTGCCCCAGTGTTACACAGATGATTGTGAATTGAAGGCAACTAAGACTCTGTGGGCTCAAAAGTAACTTCTGCTCCCCTCTTAACTAGAATAATTTAAATTAGGAGCCTGGCACATGATAAGAGTTAAAACCAGAAATGACTTTTTAACCTATTTATATTGGAGGGTAAACTAATAAGTACTGACCATGTGCTCTTCTGGCAATTGCCTCTGCCTCAAGGTGCATTACCTCATCCTTAGCTCAGATTCCACATGCACCTCAATTTCCCTTTCTGTCTCTGACTCTCTCATGCATGTGATTAAATTTAGTTATTTTCTCTTGTCAATCCATCACGCTTATTTGATTATTAGACCAGCCAAAAGAACCTTGAGAGTAGAGGAAAGTTTCTTCTTCGCCTTCTGGACCAATAAGTAGTCAAACCCATATTTTTTAACAAAAAAAACTACCATTCCACAATGAACTCAGTGAATGATCAATTCTGATGCATTCTGGGTACATAATTTTAAAA